CTCATTTACTTTGTTTCCAGATTTATGTTAAGTTTCTCATTATAGTTTCTTCTTTTCCCTCTTCCAAACTATTTTTTACATGTTGGCAGCAGATTCATTTTTTCCCCCCAGAAGTCCAACTCTGATCAGATTGTTTCCTTGCTCAAAATTTTCTTAGCTCTCTGGTGTTTCTTGAATTAATACAGATCCCCTCATGGTTAAAGCTCACTTAAAATAATTTAGTGAGTCTAGAGATTCGGAGAAGGCAATGGCACTCCACTCCAGTACTCTTGCCTGGAAAATCCCATGGACAGAGGAGCCTGGTAGGCTGCAGTCCATGGGGTCGCTAGGAGTCGGACACAGCTGAGCGGCTTCACTTTCACTTTTCACTTTCATGCACTGGAGAAGGAAATGGCGACCCACTCTAGTATTCTTGCCTGGAGAATCCCAGGGACGGGGGAGCCTGGTGGGCTGCCGTCTATGGGGTCACACAGAGTCGGACATGACTGAAGTGACTTAGCAGCAGCAGAGATTCTTTCACTTGTAGCTGCATCTTGCTTGCTTCATTTTTTTCCTGGCGGACTTTCTCAGGATTCCAATAAAGAGGCAAAAGAGAAAATACTCCAGACACAGATCTTTTCTACTAGTGCAGATGATGATATAGTGCATCAGTTGAGGTGTTTTGGACTTTCTTGGTATGTTGTTGTTACATAGTGACATGAACTTTAGCTCTTGAAAGGCTTCTGTAAGTCTGCAGTAACCTTGTTTTAGGTATAGAATAAACGAACAAGTGGCTTCTCTGGTGGCTCAGTGGTAAAGACCCCACTTGCCAATGCAGGAGACATGGGTTTGATCCCTGATCAGGAAGAGCCCCTGGAGAAGGAAATGGGAACCCACTCTAGTATTCTTGCATGAGAAATCCCATGGATAGAGGAGCCTGGCAGGCTTCAAGTCCACAGGGGTCACAAGAGTTGGACATGACTTAGTGACTTAGTTTCTCTTTGGAGTTCACATGATTTTTTGTGTCAGTTATTTTGACACTCTTTAGTTAGGCACATGTATGTTAAGGATTGTTGTCTTCTCTGAGAATTGACCTCTTTACCAGAATGTAATGCCTCTGTCCATGATGATTTTCCTTGTTCCAAAGTTGGCTTCATCAGACATTAATATAACTAATCCCACTTCTTTGTGATTAGTGTCAGCATGCTGTATCTTTCTCCATCCTTTTACTTTATATGTGTGTCTTTATATTTAAAAGTGAGTTACCTGTAGTTGACATTTAATTGTATCTCATTTTTTGATCACTCTGACAATCTCTGCCTATATTTAGACCATTAACGTTTAAAGTGATTATTGATATTATTGGATAAACATCTACCATATCTGTTATAATTTTCTAGTTGTAACCCTTGTTCTTTATTTCTGTTTCTGATACTCTTCGACCTGCCTTTGGAGTTTTAATCGAATATTTTATATGATTCCATTTTCTTTTTTTAGCATATTAGTTATATATATTTTTTCTACTTTCTGTGACTGCCTAAGAGTTTACAATATATATATGCATTTACAACTAGTCCAAGTTCACTTTCAAATAACATTGTACCACTTCAGTGATAGTACAGCTCACCTTCTAGTAACAAAATATTCATGTTCCTAATTTCTGTCTCTCGTTCCTGGTGTCCTTGCTGTGTTTCATTTCATTTATGCATATGCCTGCACACACACACATTCATGTATGCATGTCTCCTATATCCTCCCTGAAGAATTTTTGAAACATTTCTTGCAAGGCCAGTCTGGTGGCAACAGGTACCCTTGATGTTTCTTTATTTGAGAAAGACTCTGTCTTTTCCTTATGGATAATTCCACAGCATATATAATCCTTGACTGGTGCTTATTTTCTCACAATACTGTTTCATTCCCTTCTCTCCCGGTTGGCATGGTTTCTGAGATGTCAGGTATAATCATTGTTTACTTCTGAATAGGTAAGATGTTTTCTTCTGGCTTTCTTTTTTAATTAAAAAAACTTTAAATTGGAGAATAATTGCTTTACAATGCTGTCTTAGTTTCTGCCATACAGCAACATGCGGGAATTGGCTAAGAGTATCCATGTGTCCCCTCCCTCTTGAACCTCCCTTCCACCTCGCACCCCCCCCCCCGTCTCACCCCCGTCTCACCCTTCTAAATCATCACAGAGCACATATCCTTGTATCCCCTCCCTCTTGAACCTCCCTTCCACCTTGCACCCCCCGTCTCACCCCTCTAAATCATCACAGAGCACATATCCTTGTATCCCCTTCCTCTTGAACCTCCCTTCCACCTCGCACCCCCGTCTCACCCCTCTAAATCATCGCGGAGCCCCGCGCTGAGCCCCCTGTTACACTGCAGCTGCCCGCTAGCTGTCTCTCTTACAGATGGTCGTGTACATATGGCAGTGCTACCCTCCCTCCCGATTTGTCCTGCCCTCTCCTTCCTCCGCTGTGTCCAATCCATTCTCTACATCTGTTGGCTTCTTTTTTTCCCTTTATTTTTGATTTTCTGCTGTTTGAATATGATATGCCAGGGTGTAGAGGGTTTGTTTCTGTATTTGACATTTATTGTACTTGCTGTTCCTGGAGCTTCCTGGATCTGTGGTTTGGTGTCTGACATTAATTTGGGGGAGATTCTGAGTCATATTTGGTTCAAATATTTCTTCTTTTTCTTTTCCTCTTCTCTGGTATTCCAGTGATTCCTTTGTCACCGCTTTTATGGTTTCCCACAGCTCTTGGATAAAATCTGTTCCAGTGTCCCCACCCCCTGTTCTGGCCCCCTCCCCCGTCACTTTTTCTTTTTGCTTTTCAGTTTTGGAAATTCCTAGTGATACGTCCTTAGGTTCAGAGATTCTTGCTTCAGCTGTGTCCAGACTGATGATAAGCCCATCCAAGGATGTTCCTTTATATTACATTATTGTTTGATCTCTAGTATTTCATTTTTAGAATTTCCATCTCTCTGCTTACATTGTCCATGTGTTCTTGCATATTACCTCCTTTTTCCATTTAGAGCTCTTAGCATATTATCATATTCTTTAAAAATTCTGGTCTAATAATTCCAACATCCTTCTCATGTCAGAGTTTGGTTCTGATACTACTCTGATGCCCTTCCAATTGTGCTCTTTGCCTTATAGTGTGGCTTGCCAGCAGCTGGATATGATTTACTAGACGAAGGGACACCCGCCTTTAGTGGTGTGATGATCAGGTGCCGACTGTCCTGTGATTTGGGCTCAGTGAGCCTCGCTCCCCTGGGGTGTGAATTCTCACATGCTTCTCAGTGTCCATCCCCTCCCTGCTCATCCCATCAGTGGGATGGGATGGCTCCAGTGGGCTGGAGTTGGATATTCCCCTTCTCCCACATGGAAGATTGGAACAAGCTAGCTTTGGGGTCCCACAGTTGTGTTAGTCTCTGGTAAAACACTAGTTGGTTAGGACTGATAAAATAATTTCTCTTGAGGGTAGGATTTTTTAGGAAGAGAATACTCTGGTGTATTTTGGAATGGTCAGTTTCTCTCCCCTTGCTGGAAAAATAGGGGAAATTTTCTGTGATGTTCACCTTGAGAACCTGGAAGAACGGTGGAATTGAAACTCAAAGCATGGGAAGTGTTCTAAGCCGCCTCTTCTGGCGTTTTAACTCAGACTTGTGCACACTTCGCCTTCAGCATTTGATAGTTTCAGTGTAGACTCTCCTACCCTGGTACTGGTTCCTGGTGATGTTTGTGCTCATGAGCTTCTGCTCTATTAAGTTGTGGTTCTGTGTATCTGCCTATCTGTATGTCTAATTTGGGGGCATCAGTTTGCTTTGTGACCTTACTTCTGAGGGCTCTAAGAAGAGTTGTTGGTTTTTCACTTTGTTCGGTGATTTACTTGTTAGGATGAAGTGAATACTTCCATGCTTACATGCTGGACTGGAAAACTGGAAAAAAAAAAAATCCTTATTTTTGCTGCCTAAGTTTCAACTATACCTGGTGTCTCCCTGTCTAGAAAAAATTTGCTTTGCCTACAGAAAGTAAGCCATCACTCATTTTCTCAGAATAGGGAAGTGATTGCTAGAGCCCTTGAGTGAGGAAATAGGGACTGCCTGCGTTTCAGACGGCATTAACCCACTTTGCTAACTCGGAAGTGCTCTTTTTCTTCATTCTCAGTTGCAGTAGTTGAATTTCCTGAGGACTCAGCAGACTAGTTCTTCAGCCTTTTTTCTTACTAACAATACATGGTTCACCTTTCTCGGGTCTTCTCAGTAGTTAGCCACGGATCAGTGTTCTGTAGCTTTTGAGATATTGTTGCTGTTATTGCTTCTCATGTTTTCCTTATCCTTGTGTGTTTTCATTAAAATTCCTTTATTGTAATGAAGAAAGGGGCCTAAATTAATGATTTGGTTTAATCTGCCATACCTCTGTTTTTTTTTTTTTTTAACTTGTCAAGTTTAGATTTAAGGGAAAATTTTCAGTTAAACCTTGCTTTTCTTTTGTTCAGTGCCCCCCCCCCCCCCCCCCCCCCCCCCCACTTCTCAGAATCCGAACTCAACAAATAGTTTATTTGATTCTCTGAAACATTTTGATAGAGACCTGTTCTTTGTCATGTTCCTTCGAGGGCAAGTAAAGCTAAGAATTAACTGTGTAAATAGTTAATGAAGCTAACTATTAACTATTGATAATGAAAGAGTCCTTATTTTGGTCTTTCTGTGTGCAGATAGGGATAGACCTGTGTGTATGTGCATTTTTATAACAAAAAAATCAGTGGCCCCCCCTTTTTTTAAAAATACCAAGTAACAAACAAATGAAGTATAAGTGGGGAAAATAATTGTGATAGGTAACAAAGGTGCCCCACCTCCTTTTAAAGACAGACTTAAATATTTCATTAACCAGATGTTGACAGCTATTGTGATTTGTTGGTACTTGGTTATACTGCAGTTTGGTAATTTGAATGTAGTCATTTACCTCTTGAAGCCTTTCTAGAAATAATGTTTCTGCAATTTCTTCTTGTAATATACAGAGAAAGCAACCAGTGAGATGAATACTGCTGAGGATTGGGGCCTCATTTTGGATATTTGTGATAAAGTCGGTCAGTCTCGCACTGGGTAAGTGTTGCAGGGTTTCAAAGGATTTTTATTTTTTCATCCAATTTATTAATGGGAATAAAACTGGAGTTAGAAGGTAAAGCTTATTACTAGAGTCACAATTTGGTTTGACAAAAGAATGTTTTCACTAGCAAGATTTGAGGATCATCCCATTTGGTTACTGCTTGTAACAGTAGGGACAGCATGACCAGTAACAGTGTCGATATTTCAATTATTCACTCTTGTTCATATTTGTCTCCTGAAATCTAGCTTTTCCCACTGATTTTTAAAAGAAATTTTATTGAACAATAGTTGATTTACATGTTGTGTTAATTTCTGCTGTACAGCAAAGGGATTCGCTTTTACCTATATGTATTTTTCATTCTTTTCCATTGTGGTTTGTCACAGGATATTGAATATGTTCCCTGTGCTTCACAGTAGGACCTTGTTGCTTAGCCATCCTCTGTATAATAGTTTGCATCTGCTAATCCAAAACTTCACTCCGTCCCTCCCTCGCATCCCCTCCACTCTGGCAACCACCAGTCTGTTCTCTCTGTCCCCGATTCTATTTCATGTATAGGTTCATTTGTTTCATATTTTAGATTCCACATGTAAGTGATATCATATGGCATTTGTCTTTTTCCGGCTTACTTCCCTTAGTATGATTATCTCCAGGTCCATCCATGTTGCTGCAAGTGGTATTATTTTATTCTTTTTTGTGGCCATTATATACACACCAGTCTTTATGCACTCATCTGTTGATGGATATTTAGGTTGTTTCTTTTCCCACTGATATTTAAAGTCATCACTGATTTCTCAGATACCAAGTTTTTTGGTTATTTCTGTGTTCTTTTCTTCTTTGTCATATCTGCACATTCGACTCAACTAATCATTGATACTGAAAGAGACAGTTTAGGGAAATAGAATTGTAAACTTTTTGGCCTACAGACTTTTTGGTAATACAGGGCTTTCTAAACAGTGCAGCAAGGGGATTAACTGAGTAGTGGTTTACAAGGTGTGTACAGAGTAATGGTTTTCTCCATTCCTGGGCTAATAACGTCCAGTTGTGAGTAGCCACATTTATCTCTTTGTGCCGCACAAGCACTGTCTTATTTGCATGCTTCCCTGTAAAATCATGCTGCTAAGTGATGCTGGATTCTCGTGGTTTTAGTATTAACCCTCTGATGGTGCCTTCTCAGGCTTTTCTTTGATCCCTTTTAAATAGACGTAGTTCCTTAAACTTTCTCTGACCCTTTTTTTTCTACCCAGCACTTTTTCTTTCTTTTTTTCTCTCTCAGCTTCCAAGTATCTTTATGTGACTTCTATATTTTCAGCTCTGATTCTGTACTTAAGCTCTACTCCCATGGATACAGCATAATTTCAGAATATCACATGTTACAAGCCTCAATCTCACCACCTAGACCCTGAACTCATGTCCCTTTTTGCGTTAGACCTACATTCCCTCCTTTGTCCTCACGTCTGTTAATGACAGGGTTATTCTCATTTCTGCTTAAAACCTCAGGCTAACCCCTGCATTTAGTTTCTTACTGAATTCTGTCACTTTGATCCATAATCTCTCTCATGATGTTGATGTCATAGAGTCTCCTTAGTTAAGTCCTGAACTTAAGTCAGATTAGGCAGGAAAGTGTGTCTTTAAGGCCTTTCTGCCCCTTCACTTGAGATCTTTCTCGCCTATAATGTGCTCCTCCTGGCAGGCTCCCAAAGTTGTGGTCTCCAAGTGTGGCCTCATCCATCCTCTTTGTTGTCTCTGCATTTTGGTAACCTCAGTCTTGTTCTTTCCGGCCTGGTTGCTTCCTTAATTTAATTGAAGTTCGAGGAGCTGCTGCATGTTGCTTATCTATTCCTTTTTCTCTATTTCTGTGACCGCATTTCACTTGAGCCATCCTTCACCATGCTTAGACTAGTGAATTAACCTTCTGTCATTTCCTTCTGTCTCTTTCTGTCCAGTTATTATAACCAGTTGCCATGTGACAACTCTGACCATGTTACTCCCCTACCTTCCACTGAATTAAGCCTAGTAACCTCCTTAGGCCTCTGAATCATTTATTTTTCATTTACTTCTTTTGTACTCACTATTCTTTTCAACGGGCTTCCCTGGTGGCTCAGTGGTAGAGAATCCGCCTGCCAGTGCAGGAGATGCGCTTTTGATCCCTGGATAGGGAAGATCCCCTGGAGGAGGCAATGGTCACCCTCTCCAGTATTCTTGTCTGGGAAATCCCATGGATGGAGGAGCCTCGTGGGCTACAGTCCATGGGGTTGCAGAAGAGTCGGTCATGGCTTAGTAACTAAACAGCAACAACACATTCTTTTCAACTCAAATATTTAAGTTGCCCGTGCTTTTCAGCCTTTTGTATTGCTTTTGGTCCCTCTGTTCCTCCAGTGGGGAATGTTCTCATCTCCAGTCTCAGCGGTGTCTCATATCCTCCAGACACACTGTGGATATTATTTCTTCCATAAAGCCTTTCCTTATCCCATTGACTGAAAATCTAAATCCTCAAAGTACTCTATGAAAACCTTTCTTGTTTGAAGTTTGTCCTGTGTAAACATGTGTCCAGTAGATGTACATTTGTAGCTTCTTATGCAGAGGAAAGCAAATAGCCTAGTGGTTGAGGGCATGGACTCCGCTGTGAGGTGCCTGGGCTGGGACCCTGCTCTGACTGCTTAGCTATGTCACCGGTGGTCATAGTAACTTTAGTTTGCTACTTGAGAATAAAAACAGTATCTTTTTCATAGGGGGTTTATGGTGAGTGCGAGATTAGTTACTACAGCCAAGTGTTTATAATAGTATCTAGGGCGTGGATAAGTGGGTACCCTCTGCTCCTTTGTGATTAAAGTGATATTGTCTGACAGTTTGTTGAGGATGATGTATCCACCTAGCTCCATCCCTGTGTGTTTTGGAGATAAAGCTTTTATCTAGCATTGCAGTTGGAAAGTCCCCTCCTCTCTTCACCCCATCAGTTTTCATTTTATCTTTAGTTTGGTGTTCTTCATTTTGTAGATGTTTTTTAATCGGTTAGTGGCTTGAAATGAAAAGACAAACTTCCTTTCATGACTAGAAGTGTTCCATGTTTTTCTAGTTAAAAAATAAATTGAACCCATCTAAAAATTCCATATGATATGTTGTGAGGATTTAAAGAGATCAATTTGTTTTTCTGCAGCTAACATTACTATACTAGAAACTCTAATTTGTTAATTTTATGTCCTCTTTTTTCTTGTGATGAGAACTGTGAAAAGATGTACTCTCTCAGCAACTTTCAAACATACGACCAAGTATTGTGACTATACTCCTTGTGTTCTGCATTACACCCTCATAACTTGCTCATCTTATAACTGAAAGTTTGTACCTTTTGGCCCATTTTACTCATTTTGCCCACCCCTTGCCCACCCCTCCACCGTTATGGCAACCACCACTCGGGTCTATTTCTGTGAGTTTGATTTTGTTAGATTTTGCATACCAGTGAGATCAGACAGTGTTTGTCTTTCTCTGTCTTAATTCAGTTAGTGCAGTGCCCTCAAGGTTCCATCCATGTTGTCCTCAGGTCAGGTTTATGTGGTCTAAGAACCTAGATATGTATTTTAAATGTACTAATTTGTTGCTATAAACAGTTGTGTTTTATTTGTATTTTGTTGTTATCTAGTTTCAGTAGGTTTAGATACATGCTTATTTTAAACTTTTTTCATATTTACTTTAGAGGGCATTCTCTCAGTATTTTTCTTTAATATTTTGTTACCCTTTGGAGATTTTAATTGACATTGTGCCAAATCTGTGAATTTACCTGGGAGGTGTTCTCAGCTTTGCTAATTTAAATAGAGGGGTGGTTCTTTTTGTTTTTTTATTAATATTTCTTTCCTTTCCTGTTTCTTCCTTTTCCCTTTTCACTTATTTTTTCTTCCTTAATAGTTCTTGCTCTCTGGTTCCTTTAAAGTCTCATTATGTTAATTTTCACGCAGTTATTTGTTTATGTAAATGTGATATCTCTTTCTAGCTCTTGTTAATAAAGAATTGTTTGAAAAGGACTGTATAATAGTTGAGATACCATTGTAGTCTCACTAGGGTTCAAAAAATGCAGACCCACAAAGTTTGTTTATGTGTGTGATTTCTCTTTAAAAATGATGTTTTACATACATATCTGGTTGTATTTTCACCTTCTTGCTGTGCCTTGATGACTTCATAGTAGGAAATAAGCACATAGTAGGAAATAAGGCCACATTTTTATTTTCATGGTCCCTCAGCACTTATGTCTTCCTAGGTCCCTTTCTCCATAAAAAGTAATAAAAATAAAAAATTTTATGGCTGCATTATTATAAAGACAAATGTATTATTATACATGAAAACTTTTTCTTTGATCTAAGTTTGTGACATTCAGTACATTCACATTACTATGAGATCATCTCTGCTCTACATCTCCAGAACTTTTCATCATCTCAGGGGAACTCTGCCTGTCAAACAACTTACCATTCCCCTCTTCCCTTGAACCTGGTAACCATTTACAGTTTTGTTTTAATTTTTTAAAGTCATTTTATAATTAGGTATATGGAAAACTCATGGAGATCTGGTTTATGTTGTCTAGGAACCTAGATATGTTTAGTATGGGTTGCTGATGGTAGCATACGAATATTGAACATATGTATTGTAGATTGTTAGTGAAGTACTCTGGGTACCTGGTATGCTTTAGAAAAGGTTGAAACATGTCACTGGTGTGAAAGGGAAAGTGGGCATGAGTTTTCCTGAGACTGGTGTAGATAGGGCAGGTTGAAGTATGCAGTTCATAAGGTTATTTGTGTACTAGGCAACAGTCTAGGTTTTTTTTTTAAAACATTGTCCAAAAAAATTGTCATTTGGAGTTAATCTGTGATTTTATGAAATGTACAGATCTATTTAAGAGGATGGATTTAGGGAAGGGGGAGGGAACTTTAAGAAAAGCGTTTCTGTTTTTGTAAGATTTATTTTAATCAAAATGATATGTTACCAGCAATATATTGTAGAATTATTTAGTATA